GTGTATATTCTTGTCGAGTTCGTAGTAGTTGGTTGTTTTGTCGGCTGGGATGAATGCTTTCGTGGAGTTGTTGATCTTCTTTATATCATTACGTAGTTGGTCTTGGAATTCGTCGCATATGTTCCTGAATTGGATGTTTTTGATCATACCTAGTAAGTCAGCTTCAAAGTTATTTAGATCTTCGTTTTGTGGTGGGCATTTTCTTGATTTAAATCCGAATGTATCGCTGCGGTCGTCGGTATGGGGGTCGTCTTCGTTATTTCTATCAAGAAAGAAGGCTTTCCATCTCATGCGTTTGATGACGTTTTCGGTTTTTTCGATGAGTTTCTTTAGATAGTTGTTTCTTGGAGGTATAGGAATATTTTTCATTGAATAGTTTCATTGAATAGAGTTACAGTGAACATGTCTCGTCTTTAATCCAATCTTTACTATATATATATATATGTCGAATATTCCTGCTTAAGAAAATCTGTGTCTTGTATCACTTTTTATTATTTATTTTTATTGTTTAAACAGCACTAGTATTTTTGCCTTTTTTATTAAACTTTTATCTTTATGTATCTGTACCTTTTACAGTAAAATACACAATGGTTTTGAGTGGCATAAAAGTCACTAATGTATTTTTTGGTATACACACACAAGAGACAAGTGGGATATTTTATACAGTGCCATGAGAAAGCATTGTAAAACTATTTTATTCTGCACCATTAAAAATCCACTTAGGCTACTAGTTGCAATGACTGATGGGTCAAGAAAAAGTGGAATACCAACAAATATACAAAATCCTTCCTGTTTCTGTTAGCTAATCACCCTCACATTTCCCTGTGCCATCTTGAAAGGTAACCATATACCTTTGCATTGAAGTGAGAACAGTGGTGAACTTGCAATGGTAGACCTTTTTTTAACACCTTGGACAATTATTTACATGTCTTTATCATGCAAGGTCACTGCCATTCTAACTTCAATGCAAAGGCATGGCCATCTTTCAAGATGGCACAAGGAGCTGTGAAATGGACTATTGGAGCAGTATATTGTCAATGATGTGGGATAATTCAACAAATTTTATGAAATTTGTTATTTAGAACCACTTTTTTTCTTTTTTGTATCTTCTAGAGGTCCAAGTCCTCATTGTCCACTTGATAACGAGCCACTTTCTGAAAGAGAGGTGTTCAATGATGTCTGCTGCAAGCGTGAGGTTCTTGGGCTCATTTGTTTCTGCATGAATCACAAGCATGGATGCGAATGGAAAAAGGAACTGATGTACTTAGAAGTAAGAATCTAGCTAATTTCTGGTAATATGTGGTAATATTAGTAGGTTTTGGCCTTCAACGGAAACTTCAAAAGAATAGGTGTGTGTACAATGACAAAGTGACAAAACCTTTTATTAAACTGATTGGCACATTAACATGTCTACTATATAGACAATAAGTCCACCATGTACACAATGTCATGGTAAAAAATTTGACCTAATACCACTTGGGTTTTGGAGCTCTGACATTTACATTACACATGGATGTGAATAACTGTGGACCAAGTAATACTGTGAAAACTGAGTATCACTGAAAAATAATGTACATCGTATATATACATGTGTTGATATCAAAGACAGTATTGTCAAGCAACACCAAATCATCATTGGGAAACATCAGTGTTCATATGACGGCTAACTGGCCAACATCATGGAACTGTAGCGGTTGGTAGGTGTAAAAATGAACTACTTTAAAGGTCTTAAAATCGTATTTTAAAACTTGTAAAAGTAGGGTTCATTTGCATCCCAAACAGTCAGAATACGTTTATTGATCAACACTCAAGGTCACTCTATAATATTATTACCTGGTTATCATGTTTTAATTTTATACAGATAAGGACTTTGATGACATGGCATTGTCTCATGCCGCTTACTTTATCTGAGATACATAGAGAGGCATGCTTTAATTACAGAACCTGCTGGACTGTGGTAGATCCTATTGGATTCAGGAAGAGTTTTCGGGGTTATCCTGGTCCCGCCTCCAATTATAATAATGTTAATGTGCTACCCTTCCCTTGAGAATAAAAGTATAAAAAATGTTGGCCGCCATGTTGGATGACATGGCACAAGAAACCAAAATTAAATCTATGCCATCGGATTTGACGTGATATGCACCTCAAAGGCTGGGCTAAACTAAGTCAGGCCACGGCCAGTAGATTTTGTTTTAGTCTGTTAGATTTTGCGAAGAGAAAGACAAGAGAACCAAGAGTCTTCAGCACACTGATTTAAACAAAGCCTGCATTTCTATAGGTTCATACCAACTGCTAAATTATTCTGTTTTCTTGTGTTTTATTATCTTATTTATAGGAACACTTAAGTCATTGCGAATATCGAGAAGTTCCTTGCCCGAATCAAGGATGCAAAGAAATGATTCCAATGAAAAAACTTGATCAACACGTGAAAGAATCTTGTCTCTTTAAACCATCGTCTTGTCAACACTGTGGGGAACGTGTACCTGAAGTCCAAATGGAGGTCAGAAGTGCGATTTTTTCTTATAGTATGTTTTCTTTCTAAACTGATCCTTGCAAGACGTAACTTTCTCAGACGAGAGAACACTGATCACAAAAAGTGATAGCTAGATCAGTCTCCCAAAGCGATGGCTATGATTAATATGTCGACTAGGAGTAAGATGGAGAGAAATGTTAGCATTCCGAACTAATGTGATGAAAAATGTTTGCGCTCTTTGTTCGTTGTTACTTTCAACTTGAACTCTTGTTTTATTTATATGCATATAGAGAGTGAACAGTACAGTAAGGGATATAAATAACAAAAGAGAAAGAATGTTTAAGTTTGTGTGGCTGTTAAAGTAGTAAGAACCGTTTCGAGTCGAGCTTCAGGTCAAACGCACTGAGAAATAGTTTGATGTGAAAATAACCTACTAAAGACTAATAGGTGAGCGAATGGTTTGAATCGAAGGTGTTATATTTGTACTGTAACAAGTGTGAGGACGTGTGTTTGTTCTGTCTGAACGACGACCGGTCCGACAACCTGAATGGTAGACGACGGGTAGTCGTCTTCAGAGCACAGTCAAGTGCATGAGTGACGAAAAATAAGTCTACTGTAGCTGAACATCGAAATCGTGAAAGCAGGGATACCCTATGATACACTAACCCTGTGTTCTCCCATCTTTTAGGCTCATCTGCTTAAATGTGAAAAGGTCCCTATTACTTGTCAGTATTGTGGAATGAGTGATATTTTGCGTGAGCTTCAAAACGATCATATCGAAAACCACTGTGAAGCAGCAGAAAAACCCTGCAAATTCAAAGATGTTGGGTGTCTCTTCAAGGTATGACCACACAAGAATCAAATGCATCAACTATCGTAGAAGATCTATCCCTTTTGAGAATGTGACAATTGCCTGGGCTACAACCGACAGCATAATTTTTGAAATTCCCCGATACGTTTAATCATGCATGGGGATGTTTTAGAACTACGAAAACCCCGTGAGGAGGATTTTTTACCCATTTGTAATACATGTTAACAAAATGGATATTTAAACGTCATTTAGGGTAAATTAGAAGACCTTAATGAGCACTACGATTGCCAGAAGGACGAGCATCTCAAACTGACAGTTCAATCCATGGACTCATCAAAGAAACTACAAGAACAGTTGAGCCAAAAAGTGGATAAAGCTAAAGAGAAGACTGAAAAACTGGAAAAAGAATTATCTGAGCACCGAGAATCGTTGGCATCAAACGCACAGAACTTGAGATCTTACCAGGCTAGACTTAGTAAAGCTGAGAAAGGTGTTACAGAAAACAAATCTGCTATTGCACAGATCAGAGAACGCACAGAGGTAAGCTGATCCAGTTAACTTGTTTTTTTTTGGATAATGTTTTGTAAATCCAACAACCACTTCTCTATACGTATAGACTTCATTCTTAGAACCATGGAACATGTTGAGAATAATGAAAGCCTGTAGGTATGTAATACGATCAGATTGGCCGCTAGAAAGAGCACTAAACATTGCCTCGTACGCTACAGTCTAGGTCTGATTAATAAGATGAAAACCCCTCACTGTACCTGAAATAAAGTTTGGTTTCCTTATAGCTATTTCTTACTTTTCCGCGTTGAGGAAAACTACTTTTTCTGACATATCGTATGTTGAATGAAAACTAGTTTTTCTTGTTTATCTTGTTGAATGATAACTAGTTTTTCTTGTTTATCTTGTTGAATGAAAACTAGTTTTTCTTGCTTATCTTGTTTCTTTGTACACCTTTCCTTTTGAAGTGTTTGGCTTTTCTGCCTTTGATTTCTTTTACGGTATTTTTATTGTAGCGTCTTCGGTTTTCTTTCCATTGCTATTTTCAATAGCAGTAGCAGTCTTTTTACCGTGGCCAAGGTCCAGGGGGGTGAATTGGGTGACCAGTCATCCCCCTTTGGAGTTGAAAAATAAATAAGAATAAAGGAGAAGGCAAAACCTAAAAGGGACGCCATGTGATGCCTTTTTAGGTAACGGTCAACCCCCTTCAAATCATTCTGGATCCACCACTTTTTCGTTTTTGGCTTTTCTTTTGTTTTGTTATTTTTTTTAGTGGCAAAACTACTTTTTCTTGCTTTTCGTAATGTTTTTACACTTTTCCATTTGTGCCAGTTATACTATGATGTTTTTGGTTTTTGAGATTTGATAAAGTCAGACTTAAAAACAAGAGAAAGCACAGCAAAAAGCTCATATGGAAACCAGACTTAATTTGATTTTCTTGAGGCCCCAGAACAAAGTTTGTCACCGTCTTTACCGTTATACAAAACAGAGGCGATCGTTATAGGCCAATATAATGGTTTCCAGTCTTCGGAGACTCCGAAATAGAGAATCCAACTGAACCTTAAGAAAAGCTAAATAAACTGTGGAAGCTAAATGATCAATTTCCCGGTGTTTAACAAGTTGCAATGAATGTGGCTTTCCCAAGAAGTCCGAGGAAAAACTAGAGAAATCTTAAAAGGTGGCAAATCCTTAAAGTTGAGTCGCAGGACTCTAAGTCGGTCCTTGGTGACACGAAATGGTTGGCCAGCCAATAAATTGCTTTTCCAAAAAGTTATACAAAAATAATCCAAAGAACAGTATAACAGATGTCAAAGGTTTGAAATTGGAAAATTTCATTCCTCCCTTGATGAAGTCGAGCATATAATAGTGTATATTATATAATGTATATGTGGTTTACTTCCGCATGTCTTCTTACGACATGTGTGGTCGTCGGATAATCCAATTCTTAATAGGCCAACGTGTTTTGGGTGAATTATCGCTTGGCATACATTCAGAAATGGTTGTCCAAGTGGATTGTGTTCTAGAATCACGACTGATTACGGAGAAGTTGGAGAGCTGAGACTGAACGGAATGTTATGCGAGACTTAAATGCCAGTATAGCAAAGCTACGGAAGTACCCTAGAATAGATACAATTCAAAGATGAAGAAGATAAAAAAACGAAAATGACTCTGAAATTCTTGGTCGAGGCAAACGAGTTTTTTTCAATTGTTTGTTCTTTCTTGAGGGGGAGAGGTCGTTTTACTAGCGATACAGGTGAGCTAACTGAAATTGTCAAATTGTTCAATGCAAACTATGGCTGACTATTGCTAGCTTAGCTTAGGAAATCCCTTCATTTCTAATGGTCTGTAAAGTATTTACCTCACCATTGACTGATGAATCATTTACGTTTAAAAGGTCGAGAATTTTGAAGCCTATTACAATGTCATGAATGGTCAATTTCAATTTTTTTAAGGAGGAGCAGTGAGTGTGTTATGCGTTGAGTAAAACACAAGAGCACCTTCTTTATGTCGGCGGAAACGATGTTTTTCGGTAAGTCTTGTGTAACCCAATTAATTCAATTTAGAAATATTGACTTTGATTGGTCTGGCATATGATGTTGCATGTGATGCCCTGATTGAAAAATGTAAAAAAACAATGCTGGAGAATTCAGGGCAATTGAGTACAATAAAGTATTTGTACAAGTTTCCACTATCGCAATACTATCGCAATTGTTGGAACAAATATTGCCATACTATTGCATTACGGAAAAAGTGCTCAATAGTCACCACTAATCAAGAGTGAGATGTGATGAGAAGATCACAGATATCCACAATCAGAAGTCCCCCAGAGATCTACCCCATATAACGAGGGATTTCACAAAAAATGAAAGATATGTTGAGACGATCCTATATATTCACAGACAAGACAGAAAGAGAACACAATTTAAACAGGAGTTCCCTAGTGGTCTACGCCATGCAGCAAGAGGAATTGCAAAAAATAAAACATACGTTGAGAAGATCTTTTACATTCACCGACAACACACAAAGAGAACACAATTCAAACAGGAGTTTCTTAGTGGTCTATGCCATGCAGCAAAAGGAATTGCAAAAAATGAAAAATAGCAGAAGTCTACCCTTGGGCCAGTCCAGTGCTGTTCGTTCTATGCATCAAGAGTGGTTACAAAAGCGAATTTATTTTGAGAAGACAACAACAACAACAACAACAACTTTATTTTGTACCACTCTCTTATAGGATTTACAGCATTTGTTTTTTATATGTACAATATAGATAGTTTATAAATAAATCTAAATAGTATAAAAAACACAGTTATTTATAGTATATATACCAAGGCAGATAAATGAAAAGAAGGTACAGGTTGTCTGCAATAACCACAAGGCTAAGATCACATATATATTTACAGACAAGATAAAAAGTGAAACCAATTTAAATTTGGAGTCCCGCGAAGAGGTCTACAAGGATGACAACAAATGAAAGATATGTTGAGAAGATCACAGATATCCACAAACAAAAGAGAAAACAATTTAATCATACTAAGTCCCTCAGAGATCTATGCTATACAACAAGATGGATTTCACAAAAAATGAAAGATATGTTGAGGAGATCTTTTACATTCACAGACAACGCACAAAGAGAACACAATTCAAACAGGAGAGCCCTAGTGGTCTACGCCATGCAGCAAGAGGAATTGCAAAAAATGAAAGATATGTTGAGATGTAATTCACAGATAAGACATATATTTGAATCAAGTGCCCAGCAGAAGTCTACCATTGAACCAGTCCAGTGCTGTTCCTTCTATGCATCAATTGTGGTTACATGTGTGCAAGTTATGTTGAGAAGATCACATATATATTTACAGACAAGATAAAAAGAGAACCCATTTTAAATTTGGAGTCCCCCAGAGATCTGTCATTTCCTTGGACCAGTGCTATTTCTTCTATGCATGACTGAAGAATAGCTTCATAAGTGAAAGATTTGCTAAAGATTTGAAAGATCGACCAAAAGGTGTTAATACTTTGGAACAGGCGTATATTCTGGTGCTAAAACGAACCACTGAAAGACCAACAGAACAACAGAACATACCAACAAAACGTACTGGTTGCTAAAAAGGAATGTGCACGTGCAAAGCGTTCTCCCTGCTACAACGACTCTGTCATGGAAACTGTTGACAGCCTGAATCATAGCAAAGAATTTGACATTTCAAGTCGGAAATGCTGAACAAACATATCAAAGACAACCAGGGGTCATTCACTGGCAGAAGTCACTATCAGAAATACTTTAATGCTCGCCCATCACCGTGACATGTCGTAATATTGTCTTTGTTGAAGCTTTGGATAGTCGACTAATCGACTCAGTCATGCTGTTTACCTATGCATCGTCAACTGTACCAAGGGAAGATAGTCGTCACACGTCAATTGCTGCTACATATAATGAAAGTGTAGTATGGATTTTCTTTTTCCAACCATTTATATTTGAAAGTCTATGACATAAACAGAATTTTGTCATTGGGTCGTGGAGTCGCTTCGAACCTCGACAAATTATCCTTCTTGGTCGTCACTGTAAAACGTAGGTAAATGAGCCAGATATTTTTTATCCCACATGGATCCCGCATGGGATGTGTCACATGACAATTAACTACGCCTTTGCCTTCTCCATTTAGTTGGTTGAAGCCTGTATTTTATTTACAGCTATTTCAATAAACGTTTGTAAAAGGTTTTGTCGCATAACAAACCCGAAATACCACTGTCAGCGATGTAAATGCAGTCAGCGAAAAGTCACAACAATATGGAAGTTTTTCTGTGCGTATTTTCGTTATATTTTCTTCTCCTAACATATGATCCACATTTATACATTTTGGACTTGGTATGCGACATGCACCAAAACCTTCATTAACCTTTTTTGAAGTACCTGTAATCAATTTATGTCTTCAAGGCTAAGGTAAGTATTGATCGTAAATGAATAAATATTTGACAGTATGCTTTCCACTTCCTTGCTACAGGATGCAGCTTCATCCAAAGGCGGTAAAACATGCGAGGTTTCCCTGCTGTTAGAGGAATTTCGCTCTGCTTTGGCAGATCAAGAAGAAAAACTGCATTCGTTTGAACGCGAGTTGGCACGTGGCGTAGGGGGAGGAGGACTCCGATCCTTTAGCAGCAGCTCCCTGACTCTTGACAGGAGGTTGGACAGAAATGAACACCAGTTGGCTTTACATGACATTCAGCTAGCCGAACACGACCTTAAGATCCAGATGCTCGAGGCTRCTTCATACGATGGTACATACATTTGGAAAATAGACGAGTTCAGTCGCCGAAACCACGAAGGGATCATAGGAAAAACACCATCCATATATAGTCCGCCCTTCTATGTTGGTCGCTATGGATATAAGGTCTGCGCACGTGTGTATCCAAATGGAGACGGCATGGGTAAAGGTTCTCATTTGTCGCTATTTTTCGTGATCATGAAAGGCGAGTACGATGCACTCTTGCCATGGCCGTTCCGTCAGAAGGTGACCTTCAAGCTGCTTGATCAGGATCGCCAGCAAGACATCACTGACACATTTAGACCGGATCCTAACAGCTCGAGCTTCAAACGACCCACGTCGAATATGAACATTGCGTCGGGCTGTCCACTCTTCGTGTCTCAGCAGGTACGCACATGGCACTCATGTAAAGCTGTTATTTTTGTACATTTTTATTATCTCTACATTATGGGCCCAATCCACCTTGGCGTAATGTTTTCCCATTTCATACTACGTGTCATTTCCTCGAAGATAATATTATTTGTTTCAATCGTATCCCATATTCATGGGCCTTTCTGAGTTCAGTGAACAGGATCATTATGGTCTAGCTTCGATACAAACAACACCATATAAGGCATGATGGACAAAAGATGTTTGACCACAATGCATTATGTTCTCTCTCTCTGTCTTCGCATCGGGAACCTTTAAAGAAATGATACCCTAAGGAATGACACGTGGTCTGAAATGGGAAAACCGCAACCCGGTTAGCTCAGTTGGTTTGATCGACGGTCTGTTGTGCGGGCGGTCGTGGTTCAAGCCTCGGCCGGACCAACGCTCAGGATCTTAAAATAACTTAGGAGAAGGTGCTGCCTTTGTAATTATGTCTGCAAATGGTTAGACCTTCAAGTCTTCTCGGACAAGGACTTAAAACCGCAGGCCCCGTCTGTCTTCACAATATAACCCTGTATAAGGCGGACGTAAAAGATCCACTGAAGACGCTGGTGACGACCATCTTCAGTGCCCGCGCTAAAACTCTACAGGGCCCGCTATAATTGGCATAAAAGCTGTTATGGTGTCGCTGCCCTCATGGGGAAAAGCTAATAAATTAAAACAGTCGGTGTGGATTAGGTCTATTTATCTGTTTGATTTGTATAGGAAATCGCACGATCTCGAGTACAATTCGGAATTTATAGGTACGAGTTATGTTTGAAAGTTTTCCAAATTTGACGAGCCTTCCGAGGCGAGTCCAGTTTGAAAACTTTTAAAACATTACGAGTATCTATAATTCCGAATTGTACGAGAAGATTGTGCGATTTTTTGTTCATGATACACTCAACAAAATTGTGCAACTTAATTGGGACTCTGCAGAGTACAATTTGTCCAATCAGAATCGAAAATTTTGTTGTATTTGAATTTGCATTTTTTTATTTATCTCCATTTGTAAACAATTAAATGATTACAATAATAAGTTAGATAATTATTTTACAATAGTTACATATTGATGGCGATTGGGCAAGGATATAGATGAACTAATTAGTTGCCCATATAAGGAAAATTGAGAGAAATAGGAATAGAGTGGAATAGGAAACCAAATCTAGGTTATAATCTAGGAGTTAATGATATAGGTGCTAGAAGAATTTAGAAAATATACGCTATAATACAACAGAATTAATATTGATTAAGGTAATGGTTATTCAGAAAAGATTTAAATTTATTTCTAGTTGTAGCTTTTCTAAATGAGAGAGGAATATCGTTCCAGAAATGAATGTCGTTGACAGTGGGGCAGAATTTTCTGATGTTTAATCTATAGGATGGATTTAGTAGGAGCTCAGAGGTTGCACTTCTGGTTCCATAGTTGTGTTGCTCAGAGATTAAATATAACTGAAAATTTGATTGTTTATAAACTCATAAAGATGATCATAGATTATCAAACAGGTATGGAGTTTTACAACATCAGGAAGTTTTAACAATTTTAGCTTTGCATAATATGGAGTTATGTGCTCACGTAAAGGGACATCGCATGTTATTCTAATTGATTTATTCTGAAATTTGGTTAAGTCATATAAAGTAGAAATATAGTTATTCTCCCATAGACTAAATCCATATGTAAGGTATGGATATATCAAAGTATAGTAAACTTTGGTCAAAGACTGGCTATCTAAGTATTTCTTCAATTTTGACAAGACGTGAATATTCTTACTTATTCTTACTAATTTTGTTGAGTGTATTATGACTAGTAACTAAATTTGTGTTCTTGATTTTACTTAATCATATTTATGTATTTTACTGATGAGACGTGCGTGTATACACTCAATTGAAGAATCGTTGTCGGGTTCAGAAACATAGAACATAAAAGCTGAGACCAAAATGGCACATGGGAAATGACATAATTATATTATAATTTATTCATTTGCGCCATCCATGCAGTCGGTTTAGAATACCAAACGTGTATTAAAAACAGTGGATGATGCCACGGGTCGCCGGTCACAGCATGCATCTAATTAACGTACTTCGCATGTGCCATTTCGGTCTCAGCTTCCATGTTCTATCTTTCTGAACCCGACAACGATTCTTCAATTGAGTGTAAATGAATAAATCTATTCTATTCTATGCAGGTGCTACTAAGCCGTTCGTATGTCAAGGATGATACTTTGTTTGTCAAGATCAATGTTGAAACGGCTGGATTACCTCCGCTTGGCTTCTGATAGACCTTTTCAGCTTGGGCGTAATGTTATCCCATTTCTAAACACGTGTCATTCCCCAATACAATGGTTTTTGAGTGGCATTCGTGAAATATCAGACATGGCTTGTATCGTATACGCTGCACGAGTCAGGTATGTATACTACACAATACAAGTTGGATATTCCAAGGCGTGTAAACAGAAAGCATTGTACAGAACCCTTGCATTACATCCCAAACTGGAGTTCAAAACAGTGAAAAATGTTAACATCAAAAAAATATTTAATCCTCAAGAGTAGGGAAGCATTTTAACCTCCAGTTTAGGATTTAATTCATTAGTTTAGGAATTAGAATTAGTTACAGGGGCTTATAACCATTTTATTCCACACCATTTCAATTAATCGTCACAAGGGCGCAATATCTGATTAGAAGGGACAATGAAATCATTAGTTTTAGTTTTATTGCTGTTTAGCTCTAAGTACAAGACAAAAGAAAATGAAAAGAAGAGAACTATTGCAATTATTAGAGGTTTAGCATAATATTTAACAATTAGCATCATTGGTTAATTGGAGGTGAATATTGTACGATATTCACCTCTGAATCTCGGAATATTAAGTCGGCTACAAAAAAAGCATCTGCCGGCAATCGTTGTGCTACAATTTCGATGAGGAAATTGAAAAAATGAAAGTAAATGCCATTCCTATCAATACTAAAAAGGCAACGAAGTATGGAATAAAGGGTTTGGTAAAAGGTTTGCGTGAATTTATCAGCGAAGTGAATACTCGCGTCTCGGTAAATATTCCCCGATATTCACTTCACCGAAGTGAATATTTACCGAGACGCGAGTTGTCAAGCGACAAAGTAAATGATCCCAGATATTCACAGAGCCCGAGGTGAATAATTGTTTTAGTATTTTTTAACACAAGTGAATGTAATAAATAAGGGGGAGAGAGGTTTTTTTTAATTAAAATTCTATTTATCTCTGCAAGCAGTACGAATCGAAAAACAAGTGTGCGTATGCGCGCTTAGCTCCTGTAGGTGAATATAACAGCATAAGACGGAAACTGTGATTTATTATATTCACTTGTGTAAAAATACTAAATAAATATTATTATGTAGTGCTGGAGAGAGTAGCTTAACTATTAATACCGCCGAATATACTACGGCTTTCTTCTATTCTGACTGGCTATATATATATGTATATATATGTATATATATGTATATGTATATACACTCGATTGCAGAAACGGTGTAGTATACATTTATACATTTATACAAATACCTAATGAGATGCATATTGCAATTTTACTTTTTTAACCCT